CCGTCCTCCTTCTGGTCTTCTTCCTGTTTGCATACCTCAAAGTACCCGAGACGAAGGGGAAATCGTTTGAGGAGATCGCAGCTGCGTTCCGCCGCAAGAAGCAACCGGCCAAATCCATGACGGAGCTGGAAGACCTGCATGGCGGCGAGGAGGCGTAGGCATGGCCACATGCACAGGAAGGAGGGATGCAGAAGGAAACGTTAGGCAAAAGTCTCATTTCACGAACACCTTGCAGGTGCCAGCACAGGAGGACACATCAACTGCGGGACTTCACAGCGCTGCCTGCACCATCCAGCCACAGGTGCCAAGCTGGCATTTTGCTCTGAAACTGTTGGCAGAGCTGAGCTGCAGGAAGAGCCAAGGAAAGAATGGGAGGAATACCGTACATGTGTGCCTCTGTGTCCCACTGCATTGTGGCAGGATGATCTTACCAGCTGGCAAAGCATTACATGAAACAGGGTCATCACTCAGCTGGAACGAAGGAAAAAGGGGTTGCGTGATGCTGAAGCCTCATGCCTTCACCTCTTCTTCTCATGCTTGCTGCCTCCTCCTGCTGAGTGATCTGAAGCCTTGAGAAAACACCTGCTAGTGCAGCTGTGTTAGCAGCACACCGCACAGATCACAGATACACAAAATGGTTTGGGTTGGAAGGGACCATAACGTCCATCCAGTCCCATAGGCAGGGATACCTCCCACTAGATCAGGTTCAAAGCCCCATCCAACCTGGCCTTGAATGCCTTCAGAGATGGAGCATCCACAGCTTCTTCGGGTACCTGTGCCAGGGCCTTATCACCAGGTGGAGTCTCACAGGAGCAGAGAGGAATTCACCTCCCTTGCCCCACCAGTCATACTTCTTTTGATGCAGCCCAAGGTACAGTTGACTTTCTGAGCTATAAGTGCACACTGACAGCTCATAGGCATCCTTTTTTCATCCACTCAAGTGTTTTTCTTCAGGGCTGCCCTCCGTTCAGTCATTACCCAGCCTGTATTCATGCTTGGGATTGCCCTGAGCCGGGTAGAGGACCTTGCATTTGGTCTTGTTGAACTTTAAGAGGTTTGCATGTGCTCACCTCTCAAGCCTGTCCAGCATTTTTTAGTGTTTCTCAGAGAAACTAAGAAACTCTGTCTGGGTTGATATGTGTGGTTGCAGACTATTTGTCTCCTCTTTGGTTGTAGGAAGCTGTTCCTCTCTGTTTCATCTCTCCCATGGTGTGACCATTGCCAGGTCGCCTCCCCTCACTGCCCTCTGCTATTTTTGTACAGTGCTTAGATCAACCCTAACAACCAACAATTTTGTTACTTGAGCTTTTAAGGTTTGTATATTCCTTGCTGTGAAACAAGGCCTTCTAGAAGCTTCTCAGGATAGATACCCACTATTTATTTAGGAAGAAACATCAGTGCTGTTCACAGTGAGCTCACTGCGATGACAAGTACTGCAGTGGCCGTGATGGGAATGTTCACACTCCCTTCTTTGGGCCTGAACTTCCTTCCCATGCAGACTTTGCAAATTTTTGGCTCTTTCCAAGCGACTGGAAGTGCAGGCACAAAGTTCACCAGGACCAGCATTGTCCCCATGCGTTCAGTGGAGGAGATGTCATCATTTCCTGGAATGCCTGCAATAACAGCAGTGTTATCTGTGTCTGTTACATAAAGGTGATCATGAACAACACCTGCAGCGTGTGCTGCCTTGTGCTGTTGTCTCTCCCCTCTGTACATCTCAGACACACGTCCATCTCCAGACAGGAGGGTTTTTTTCCAGTAGGGCACATTTGCTCTGTGGGTGGCATTTGCTGTGCAGCTGCAAAACATCTCTGGTGGCGTGCAGCTGAGTTTTGTGCAGATGCCTGAGGAGCATCAGTCAGTGGTGCTTTCAGGAGGGTCTGCGTTCAAAATGAATAACACAGCAGCGAGGTACCATTTGTTTAGCAACACACCGAGCCAGGCAGCCTTTGTTTTCCTCCGTGTTACCAAATAAATGACAACTAAAAGCCTGAATTTCTGATTGTAATGTAGCACGTACATCAGTTTAACAAAGCCCACGCTGCCATAGGTGAATTCCTGAACTTCACCATGGGTTCAGAGCCACTTGGGTAATAAGAGTATAAAAATGGTTACCAGCAGAAAGATATCTTCCCCCTCTGTGCTTTTCTACAGCCTCTTGCCAGCACACGGGGACTCCTGAGAGCTAACGGGTTGCTCCCCTTGCTTGGTCAGTGCTGAGTTGAGCCTTTGTGCTTTTTAATATTATTCTTTCATCTGTAGCATCCCCTACAGATGGTATTTTGCTTATCCTGGGATGTTTCCAATCAATTCTGCTAGTGGCTGCCGTGGGGAAGGCTACATGGAGAGCACAGCAGAGCTGGGAGCTGCACAGTACTTCGGCAATCCCTGTCCTCACCGTGCTGCTGGGAGGGATGGAGCTGATATGCCGGGCTGAGCTGTCGCAGTGCACTTTTACCGAGCATGGGGATGCAGGAAAGGGTCACAAGGGTTGGTCAGATCTGCAGATATGTTTACGTCTGCCCTTTCCCATCAGGCTGGCAATTAGCACGTTATCTGCCCTTGTTACATATGAGATCCAGCTGAAACTTGTTCTTATGACACAGCTCGTTCAATCATTATTTTTATCTCTGTGTTACAGTTTTGTCAAGTTGCTAATCATTAAGATTCAAAAGACCGAATCATACTTATTAGCTAAATGGTCATTGCACTTTAGTTAACATGCAAAATATGTTCCTGCACCATGGTTAGCTAATAACGCAATATAATTAATAGCCCCTGAGAAAGCATCTTGTCAGCAAGAGCTTCGACAGTGTTTTCCTAATGTGCTGAGATGACAGCCATTAAGACTTTTCTGTTATGTCAGATAAATGGTGAACAATATCTAGTTTCCCACACTCGAGGCGTAATTTCAAAATTAGTTTGACTTTCCTAATCCAATAAGCTCGGGACATTTGGCTCCATTAACACTTTCCACACTCATTTATCACTGATTTTTCTGCCTCACTTCAACTTGTTTTTCATCGTGGAGAAGAGGTGCCCTCCCTCTCCCGACTCAAACAGCTGATGAGGATGAAACTGAAGCACTTCACAAGCAGCGACCAACGCTGTAGGGTCTGATGGTGCTCTGTGTCCTTATCTTCCACTGAAACCTACAGGGGCTGAGGAATTGCAAGGCAGGAACAGCAGACTGGGAGTCAGAAGCAAGGCTTCCCGTGGGGCACATGTCCTGGTATTTGCGTGGCATCAGCCTGGGAGGAGCGAATAGCAGAGTTGCAATGCATATCTCCTCCTCCTGGTGCAAGTTACAGCTGGTTCCAGCTGGCTCAGTGTTCCTGGCACTGTCACACTGCTTGCCTCATACCTGCAGTGTGCGCCCAGGGTAATTCTGCCAGCAGGGCGCATACCTTGCCCCGTAACGTCTGCACAGCCAGGCAGAGCACATGAGTCAAGAATGACCAGAGAGCAAGAAGAGGCAGCGTGATGGGAGCTGAAAGCATCCCAGGACACACAGCCCCTAATCATTGCAGGGACATCCCAGAATCCCATTCTCAAGACCACCACAAACACAGGATGAGCAGCTGGTGCTGAGCTCAGTCTTGGGAAAAGCAGAGGGGAGATGGCAGCGCTCAAGCAGTGCCTGGAGCAGAGTGCAATGCCTAGGGCAAGGTCACAGCAAAGGCTCTTTCATCTGGTTCAGACCGCATGCAGGAACACGGAGGGTCTGCTGAGCCCAGCACTGTCCTGTGGGAGGGATAGAGCAATGCCTCCCGTGTTGCGTTGAGTTTGCTGGCAACAAGGCTGTGTGTTTGCCCCAGAGCTGGCTGAAATATGTGGCTAAAGCTGGGCTTTAACGAGGTGCTTCGGGTCACTTCTTCAGTATATGAATGAGTTGTATCTGTTCTCTGCTATTTTAAACCTTCCGAAAGCTCTCTGACCACTGCTCACTTCTGCTGCATGACTGATATACAGACTGAGAAGGAGAGCTGAAGATCGATAATGCACTGAGCCTGCTCAAGAGAAGAGACACAATCCAGGTGTGCAGTGCTCCGAGCACACCTGCAAAAATAGAAATACATGTACAGATGAGAGGCCCTGATGGTTACAAACATGCCTTGAAACCAAATTGCTGTTGTTGTACATCAGTACGGCCAAGAAACACACTTCAGAAAATAAATGCTGACCCGGACACAGGAGTGATGCCTGCAAGCAATGACTGGTGCATCTGATTTTCAGGTTTTTTAATGAATTTCTGATAAAGACTGATGGAATATTTTTTTCTGAAAAAGAGATATCATCCACCTACAGCTGCACCTCAGCAAAAAGCTGTGGTTTAGTACAGGAGATGTCTCGGGGCACACCCAATTAATCTCTTAATTGTAGAAAATGAACCAAGTTCACATCCCGACACTCAAAAAAGTGAACCATCATTCTGCTTGGCTCCATCCTGCCGCAGCGTGCGCTCAGAAGAGCTGGCAGCTCTCTCGTGAAGTACTTCATCGTAAGGCAAGATGCCCTAGAGCACGTGCAACTCGTGTCGGTAAGCAAACAGTGCGCACGCATGTACGAACACTTAACGGTGCGACCCGGGCACCGCTTATCAGCCGGCACAGAACGGCGCAGCCGGCAGCCTCTCCCCGCGGCACTCCGCGCCGCGGCGGCCGCGCCGTGCTCCGAGCCCGCATCGCCCCCCTCAGGCCCGGCGGTGCGGTAGCTCCGATCTGCTCCGAGGGCGCCCCCAGGCGGCCGAGCTCCGCGCTCGGCGCCGGTTGAGCCGCGCCGCTCTCCGTAGCGCCTCGCACGTGGCCGGCCGAGGGCCGAGGGGTGGGGCGGGACGAGGCGGGACGGACCAATCAGCGCCGAGGAAGCGAGCGGAAGCAGGGGGGCGGGGCGCGGGGCGTGGTGCGCGCGCTGCCCGCCGCCCGCCGCCCCTTCCCGCCGGCCGCCGCAGTGGTCGGGCGCGTGTGCGCGGCGCCGTGCCCCCGCCCGCCCTCCCGGCCGCCCCGCCGTGCTCTGCAGGTAAGAAGGGCCGTCGGAACACTTCCCCTCCCCCTTTTCCCGCTCCTCTCCGTTCCGGGCCTGGCGCTAACGGCCCCGAGGGCGGTTGGGCCGCGGCGCTGAGGGCCCTGAGGGCGGGCACGTGGCGGGCGGAGCGCGGCTCACCGGCACCGGGGCGGGGGGGGAAGCGGGGGGACCCCGCGCTCGGCCCGACGCTGTGCGTTTCCCGCAGCCCAGCAGCCGCCGCCATGGCCGACGAGTTGGACTTCACGACGGGCGACGCCGGCGCCTCGTCCACCTATCCCATGCAGTGCTCGGCGCTGCGTAAGAACGGCTTTGTGGTGCTGAAGGGGCGTCCGTGTAAGATCGTGGAGATGTCCACCTCCAAGACGGGAAAGCACGGCCACGCCAAGGTGAGCGGCAGCGCCGCGTGTTCTCCGCCCCGAGCGGGGGTTGGGAGGGCCGGGGGGCAGGGCCGGGCCGGGGGCTCTCCCTGCCGCGGATTGTTGGAAGGATTACGCGGCGGTGGTGGTGATAAATGTGCGGCGGCGGGGCAGGGTAAGTTCTGGAAGGGGCTGATGAAATCCCCAGGGCGTGGTTGGGCCGCGCCGGCTGCCCCAGTGACGCTCCCCGGCGCGCGGCGTGGTGCTGCCCAGCAGTTGGCTCTGCAGCTGTCCGGACTGGGCTGCCCTGCACTCGTCTGCTGAGACACATCGACAGACGTGGGCTCGTTTGATTCTTGAGCTTCCACGGCCTCGTGTGACTGTGTGAAGTACTTAGCGTTTGTCCAAACTAGAGGCTGCCAAGCCTTTGCTGTTGGCTTTTTTTTTTTTTCCTGTTTTTCTCCTTAAACTTCATGGCTTTTTTTTTTTTTTTTCCAGACTTACATAGCATTCCTGTAAGACTGAAAGGAGTTGAGCAGGATAGGCTGTAAACTGCTAATCCATGTGCTAGCTGCTCTGGGCGGCTGCTGCAGGCATCAGGGGAGGTGGGAGCTGCTTTCATCTCAGCACGTGGCCACTTCCGTTCTCCTTAACCTTCTTGTCACCGGCCCTGTTCTGTTTCACACAACAGCTGGAAAGTGAAATAAATGTTCTTTAAACAGTCACAAGCCAAAAGTCAACCACGTTGAGCTTTACCTTGTAAAGTGATGGAAGGTGAAGGCTGTAGCCTTCATTTAGTGGATGATCTGAAATGTGAAAAGACACCTCATGGGCCTTCTCTTAGGGTTTGGGCTGCTCTCACACAGCAAGCAAAGGATTTGAGGAGAATCTTGTCTCACGTGTTGCCTTTTAAAAGGCAGGAAGCCCCATATGGGACCAGCAGTACTGATTTCAGTGGTGTAGTAGGATGGACAGTACTGATCTTTCTTTTTTCTTGTAGGTCCACCTGGTTGGTATTGATATTTTTAATGGGAAAAAATACGAAGATATTTGCCCATCAACTCATAACATGGATGTCCCAAATATAAAGAGGAATGATTATCAGGTGAGTTAATGTTATCTTTCCACACTAAAACTAACACTACAAGTAAGATGTTTGTTATCACGAAACTGCTTGTCAATTAGTGAAGTGCTGTTGCCCTGAGAGAACTGAGGGTTTGGCAGACTTGCCTGTCTAGATGTGGCGCTGCTGAACCAGAAGCATTTACTCAGCTGTTAAAATGGTCAGAATTGTCTAGATAGAAATCTCCTGCTTGCTGTGCCACCAACCCCACAAGGCAAATTAAATTGGGTTCTTAACTGTTACAGGCATAGCACTAAAGAATTAGTGTAACAGCTAACTGCCTTCTGCTTGTCTTTGCTTGCTGCCTGCTAATGATGCTGATGTTAAACTTCCTAAAAATGGGTTTCTTTTCACAGCTGATAGGGATTCAGGATGGGTATCTCTCCCTGCTGACAGAAAGTGGCGAAGTTCGTGAGGACCTAAAGCTGCCAGAAGGTGATCTGGGAAAAGAAATCGAAGGAAAATTCAATGCCAATGAAGATGTGCAGGTGAGAATAGAGTGAAGCAGACAAGAAGAGAGATGCTTTAATTGTCCTTGCCTGTCATCAGAATAAATGTTCTTCATTGTGTAATTTGTATTATTTCATGAAGAAGGGGTTAGAGACATGGGAATTGGTTTTTTGGCAAGTAGGACATCTGTGTTGGGACACCCAGTATGGCAATGAAGGCTGGCTCTGTTGACAGCAAAGCGATTTGAGTCTCAGATATGTCAGGATAAATCCTAATGGTGCTATCTGCTTAGTGCAGACCGGAGCTTCCACTCTTGTGTGGAGCTTTGTGAGATAATCTGGGCTTAGAAACAGCTTAAAGTTGAGAGCAAGTCTTGAGATGCCACGATCTTGCACCATGGAGTGTGACTGGCTGTAACTTCTAGGAGCAGTTCTGTGGGGGTTGGAACTAACCTGTGTGTCTTTTCTTCCAGATATCCGTCATAAGTGCAATGAATGAAGAATGTGCTGTAGCCATAAAGCCTTGCAAATAAAGAGGATCGCCAGGCACGGGCAACTGCTCAGGTCTGGATAAACCACAGATCTTTAAATTTGGTTCTGATTGTCACCAAAGCTCTGGCCTTCACAAGCAACCTCATTTCTTTTTTGAATTGTTACAAAGCAGTGCTGGATTCTGGATTAGTGTTGCAGGCTAACTGGCAGTTTTCAAAATCACTGAGATTTTAATTCCTTAATTGTAACTATTTTAACATTCCTGTGGGTTTCAGCTATGGATCTAAGAAACCGTTCAGGTGTTACTAGTGGATATATTTTTTTATTTGCTTGAGCAAAACAGTGTTTGTCTGTATGAACAGACAAAATACAGTATTCAGGGGCTTTTAGATAAGCTAGTAGGTATCTAGGATTATAAAGTGACCTAGAGCACAAATAGTATTTTTCTTGACATGTTTAGATAGAACTGACAATAAAAGTAGCTTTTTTTTTTTTTTTTTTTTTAAATCTTAAATATTTTGTGGATTGGGACTCTTGCAGAACTGTAGGTACCAATCACAAATTTTAGACCAAGAAACTCAAGTGATCAAAAATGCCAGCTGGCTTGACCAAGCCCCAGTGGCCATGTGCAACTTAACTGTATTACCTCTGTATTCTTTTTTGCCAACTTGTTGGCTTATTGTAACGTTAAAATGGTGTCAAAGCCTACCTGTGGTTTAGGCAGGCAGTTGAGTTTTGAGTAGATGAGACATAGATAGGTCAAGGTGAGAATGGATGCTAAAGCTATAGACTTTCACTCGAGGCCTTTGTCAGACTTAAAGAAAAAAAAAAAAAAAAAAAAAAAAAAAAACCCCACAGTTCAGTTGCTCTCCTTTGTTGTATTTATCTGAAACTATAAAAGGGTGACAAACTCAGCGGGAATCTGTTGCAGTGCTTCCAGCTTTAGGTTTCAATCTTCAGGTTCAGACCGTATTTTTGTAGCGCAAGGACCACGTGTTTTTTCCAAAAGTGGGACGAATTGTAGCATTGAGCCTAACCTAAATGCATGTGTGGTGTTGGTTTTTTTTTAATTGAACTATTGCATTTTCAAAATACGGACTTGACAAACAATGCTGAACAACCATGGCTTAACTATAAAAAGTAATTAGCTGAAAAAGTCAGCTCCTATCCACAGGAGTTGGGAGTCGTTGGAACACACGTGCATGCCTCTAACTACTCAGTAGCTTAATAGGCAAACACAAAGCTTTACAGAACTAGTCATGAGAGGATAACTCGCTAGCTTACTCTTGATTATAGCACTCAACTTGAAGTCAGACACTTAAAGACTCTTCATAGGTGGGAAACTTCGTAGCCCATGGCTCAATCTCTCCTCACAGTGGGTGAAACATTTCATGGACTTGCCTTAAGTTTCAGCAGCTATCGGCTGATGTAGGACAACTTGTGAACACCCAGTGTGCTGCGTTAGGCAACCTGCACAATTCAAGCTGTTGGCAACGAGAGTCAGACTTAACGCTGCTGCTTACTGCTTAAAGTGTTTCCAGCTTGTACTCTCTAATCCCAAAAGGGCTCACAGCAACTATCCTGAACTGCCCTTGTACATACTGTGGTGGGGCTTAGCAAATTCTGGAAGTCTAATGTAGTGGGCAAAAGCATGTTCTTTATAGACTTCTCATGATGGAGAGCAGTACAGTGAAGGTAAAGACAGCAATAAATATACTCTGGTAATAAAGCACAGTTACCTGGGACACCTGGCAGAAGTGGGATACTGCTGCATGCTCTTACCTAGTACAATGCACATTGCAGGTGGGCTCTGAACAGCTCCTTGACTGAAATGACAGCTTTTCTAAAAGCTGTAGATCCAAGCTACTGAAATGCTTCAGAAAGGTTTTTAAGGGCATGCTAACAGCAGAAGCAGCTCTGCACTGTGTCCTTTCCTGCCTCCCCAGTACCAGTACCTAAGGGACAGGCTTTGTCGGGGTTGAAGGTGAGTGAAACCACTGATCATAGTCTTAACAGCAAGCTGATCTGTGTGATCAGCAGCCCAATGGGGAGTCATCACTATGAAAGCTTTCTAAAATGCTTGAAACCTACAAGACTTGGATTTGTTGTTCTGGTAGGGTTTCAGTCTGCTTTCTGGTGCCTGTCAGTCCCTCCAAACCCTTGTTGTAAGACAGGTGTTCGATGCCACTGGCCCACAGTCCAAGTATTTACTAAGACTGTAAGTTCTTGAGGACAGGGGATGTTTCCATCCTGTTTGTACAAGTGGGATCCTGGCCTGACTGAAGTTTTCAGGTACTAAGGCAATCTAAAGATCAAGATTTTATGACCTCCAGCTTGCTGGAAGAACCCTCCTTGGGGCTTAAGGATGTCCTATTGCAACCTTCAGTTCTGCAAGACCTAAATGATTCAGTACTTCAGTATAGGTTTGTTCTTATATACAGTTGTCTTTTGTGAAGCACTTCGAACACAGTGGAAGTGCATAGCATTGCCTCGTCGTGCATGAAGTTTCCCATAGGTAATAATACATAAGCATGAGTCTTAAGCATAATCTCCAAGTTTTAGTAAAGGTGAAAGTTGCTTCTAAATTAGAACAAGTCTTTGAGACACTTTTTCCAAGGTAAGATGTTTCAGTCTACTGTCAGAATAATTTGCAACAACTTTGTTATCAGTAGTCTATATAGATTCATATTTTTAAGATCTCTAAGCAAATGCTTAGGAAAATTCCTATTTTGTAGCTTTAGTTTAAAACAAACATCACCCGACTACTTGTTTTGTAGTATTGTCTTTAACACTCAAAGAAATTGTATCAAAATAGAAAGCTAAGCTTCTGGATAGCTCATGCAATTGCTTAAAATAAAGGCTGTGATGACTAGGAGGTAAAGACAAGTATTTCCACTCCAAACAATGCATTTTTTTATGGCTCCAATTCATTGAGTTTCTCATACTACTTTACAGAATTGGAAAGACTGCAGTATTTCCTGCCTCCAATGTTGGCACGTAATACTTCAAGATTTCAACAGATCCTTCAACTTGTTGCTTCTAATGGTGGTTTTTCAACTAGGCTCCTGCTAGTTGAGCCATGTTCTCAGGGCTGTTTTGTTTTGTTTTGTTTTTTAAGAAGTTAGCTGAATTTCACTGTTCTAATGTAACTGCTTTCAAGCCTCTCGCAGCTTTTTCTAACCCATGATGTACCCACAAACCGGGCACAGTCTGTAGCTTCACAATACAGGTAGTTTTACCGGATCTGTAAAGAAGTCAAACTTGTTGACAGTTGAAACTCTTATGGTTACTGCAGGTCAGTCTTACAGAATTCAGAATTAAATAAATCCCACTTTTTTTTTTTTTTTTTGCTTGAGTGATTAGAATGTAGTTTGTTACGGTAGAATTAAACGTCAGGATCAGACGACCTTAAGGCTATGTTGCATATCTCACACGCAAGTTATGGAAGGCACAGGTGAGCTCTGGTGCCTGTGGGAGTAACTTCTGCAAGCAGAGAGCTGCTGTGTTGGTCTGAATGTTGGCTCTGTGTCACTGGAAGCCCCCGTTCCCTGTCTAGGGAGGAGAGGCCCCCCAGCACAGCAGTGCCATTCCCTCAGCTGTGCCCCAGGCAGCTGCAGGCCAGGGGCTGCCTGTATGCTTGAGAAGGTGCGTTGCTGTTTCACACCACACCCACGATGAGCTGAAAGCGGTCGTTGTGTGCTTTGCTCCAGAAGTTATCAAGGTCTCAGTGCGGGGGGCAGCGGGGCGATGCTCGGGGTGGCGGGGCTGCCGGGGCGCTGTGACGCTGTGGTGCCGTGGTCCTGGGGGGTGGTTTGGGCCTCCTGTCGCTTTGCAGTCAGCGTTCGCTCTGTGCCTGCGGGCCAACCCCGTGCTTTTTACGAGGAACACTTCAGCGCTAGAGCCGCTCGGCCTAGAATTGTACGAGGAAGAGAATTGCTTTCGTTCCTAATGACAATTAATTAGAGCAAATAAAGAGGTGACTCGCTCCGCTGCCGCCTATGACTCGTCCTTGGGGGAGGGCGGGAGGGACGACGCCTCAGGGAGCCGCGGCCCCACCCGCCATCCCGGCACCCTCTGGCCGCGCAGGCGCGCCGCTCCGCCACGCGCGTGCGCCATGACGTCACACGTGCGCATGCGTCATGACGTCCGACCGGCTATAAGAGCGCGGCGTGCGCTCGGCCTCTTCCTTTCTGCGAGTGCGTCGCTGCGGTAGCATGGGGCCGGTGAGTGCGGGCGGGGCGGCCGATGTCTGGGCAACCGGGGCGGGTGGGGAGCGGCCCTGTGCCGGGAAGGAGCCGACTGCAGTGGGGCCGCCGTCCGGATGACAATGCGACTCCCCCTGCCGTCTTGTGGCGCCGAGGGGCGGGGGGTGGCCGGGCGAACAGCCCCCTTGTGGTGCGGAGCTAACGCTGGTGTCGTTGTCGTTTCGTTTTTAGCAAAAAGATAGGAAGTCTAAGAAGGCGACGTGGAAGTTTTGCCTCGACCTGACTCATCCTGTTGAAGATGGAATCTTTGATTCCGGGAACTTTGTAAGTGGTGGCCGTGTGCGTGCTGGCAGTGCTCGGTGCGGTACGGCAGCCGGCCTGCCTGTGATAAACCACAATGTGAACAACAGCAGCTGCTTTTTAATTCGACAGCAGTTCCTGAACGTTTCCTGGGCTTAAATATCTTGTATAAACGATATGACGGGTGCCCTGTCCCTACCTGCCCCAGGCTGGTAGTGCATCCTGGAGCTGTGGGTGTTCCTGCTCACTGCAGGGTGCTGGACCAGGTGGCCTTTAAAGGCCCTTCCCAGCTCAAACGCTTCTGTGATTGTGTCACTTTAATTAATTGCACGCTGGGAAGTCTTACAGCATTGCAGATGCTTAGTGGTGGCAATGAGTGGTATTTAATGTTGCTCCATGACTAGGGTCCCTTCCCTAGTTCATACCTAGGGTGCCCTTCCCTAGTGTTCTATTTCTTCTCTGATGTCGAAACAGGAACAGTTCCTAAAGGAGAAGGTTAAGGTCAACGGGAAAACTGGAAACTTGGGGAACACTGTTCACATTGAACGTTTGAAGAACAAAATCACAGTGACGTCTGAGAAGCAGTTTTCTAAAAGGTCTGACTGGGTTTCTTTTCACTGTATTTACCGAGTAGTGGGGTTTGAAAAGTGATAAGTAAATTGAATATGGCAGATTTAATATATATTAGTAAATAGCTAATATTTTGTAGTGCGTGTTAATATTAGTAAGATACACAATTCAAACAGATTTACAGGATTAGATATTAAAAAAAAACATCTTCTTAAAGGACAAGACTTAATGTTCCTTCTAATACAGATATGATAGTACAGAAATGTTTATGTAGCTTGTTGGAAATATATCAAGGAAATATGCTTTTTAAAATTGTAGCTGCATTCATATAATGAGTGGCTGCTTTATTACTTAAATAGTTATATTAAAATATATGTGTACACATATGGCAAGAGAAGCCAACTGAAGCTTTCCAGCAGTTAGTTTTTGGAGCATGCAGTAGATCAGTGCACGGAGCTGGGTGCAGTTCCTCCCCCAGCCCTCCTTTCACTTTTGTGATATAGGTGTGCCAATATCTGCTGTGTAAGAACAAGGTTAAGAGCAGAGAGAAGTGGCTCTGGAGGTACTGGCATTGAGCTATGCAGTCAAGAAGCACCAAATAAGGTCTTACGTATCAGGAATGAAAATATAGGCTTGTTAGCTGTTACACATGATACTTTGTGATTTCTTGCTATAGTTAATGCAGTAAGTAGAATCACCCCTTGGAAAATTCAGCATATAAGTCACACTGTTCCCCTGTTAGAGCCACAGCACGAGTGGAGTACAGGCATAGGAATGTTAAATGGCAAAAATTCTAATGTATAATTATTGTTTGTAAGGTACCTAAAGTACCTCACCAAGAAGTACCTCAAGAAGAACAACCTTCGTGACTGGCTTCGTGTTGTTGCATCTGACAAAGAGACGTATGAGCTACGCTACTTCCAGATCAGTCAAGATGAAGAAGGATCAGTCTCTGAAGAGTAATAGAAGCTTAGCTTTATGCTCAGTACAGTGTATAAAAGGAACATCTATTTATGAGAACAGTTAACTTATTGGTGAATAAAGATTTTGTACTCTGTTTGACAGAGCGTGGTTTGTTTTCAAGCTCTTTTTTTTTCCTTAAATTGTAATTAATGTAAGTAATAGAGAATCATTTGATTTGCAGTTTTATTTGTGTTGCTAGAAATTGGAGCTGTTCAACATGACATCAGTAAAAGGCCAGGTAGGAAAGCAGAACTAAGCCCCTCAGCCAGCAAAATTCTGGGACATTTGCAGTGTTAAAGGGTGCACTCAGGCTGCATGAAGGCAGCTGCTTCCTTTGGAACAGCCACACAGAGTGGGCTTTAGGCATGTAAAGCCAAAATTGGGTATTTAGATGGAGTTAACACTGTGGAATCTGCAGTGCAGTTTAGTTTATAACAGGGATGCATGTAGGCTACAACACAGATTTTCTGCTTGAAGAAAGCTGCTAGTTTAAGCTGAAACATTTCCTTATGGATTTTTGATTATTTATTTCAGCACTGCTTTTGCTGGCAAGTTTTATGACAGGCTTGAGAGTTGCCAAAGCACAAAGCAATGCTTTACCAGCCATGACTTCCTCTCGTGCTACCTAAATCTAAGCAAACAGTACAGAGGGGGTGATAAGCGAGACCCCAAGGCACATGGAAGTTTGTCTCTTGTTATTTTCCAATTTGTTTGAACAGCTGCTCTTAACAGGAGATAAGAGGATGCAGCAATTGAACAGCTGCTTGAGTAATTGCTGTTGTGCCCATATGTTTCATTTTTCTGTTTCAGAACCAGCAGAGGTAAGAGAGCCAGCCTGCTGCTTTGGATTTTATTTATCAAAGATGGTTATGGTCAGAAAATGCCACAAGCTGGGGTGTCCTGAGGCTGCCAGCTGCCAGACGCTGCTCTCGAGGTTTGTGTTGAGTAGATGCAGACCTCAACCTGGATCAGTGTGAAACAGCATGGGTAGCTGCCCTTGAGCTGCAGGCCAGGCAACTGGGAGCCATTTCCCCTGAGCACCTGACCCTCTGCTGATTTTCAATCAAGGGTTTTTTTTGCTGGAAATCAAAAAAAGGCAGCTAGTGCTTATGTAAGGTGGTTACAGGCTTGAAAGTTGGTCATGCATTCACCCAGCAGCATGGTTTTTTGTATCAAGCTGCAAGAAATTGGAGAAAAAAGAAAAAAGACATACAAAATAACCACATGTTATTTGCAACACAGAGTTAAGCAAAAAAAAAAAAACAAAACAAAACCTGAGTAAGTTGTATTTCAAAATACATCCCCATCTATTTATTTTTTTTTTTTTCCAGAATTGCCCTTTTATGTGGCAGTGCATCCTTTGAATGAGGCTGACACAACAAAACCATCCTGATTAAATGTAACAACTAGAAACAAAATCAAAAAGTCAATAGGGCTGTGCTACCTTGTTATCTCTCTCCTTCCTTTTAATGCAGTGTCATGTGCTGTTTCGCAGCCTAACAGACAGCATCATTCAACAAGCACTGGGGAAACAAGGGCTGGGATTTCAGCAAAGCACAGCTGGGTTTGGAGGAAAAGTGCTACTGTGAGCAGCAGTGCTCTCTGTGCTTATCTGGAGCAAGGATGGAGCCCAGGAAACCCATTCCTCCTGTGGGCTTCACAGGAAGAAATAGCTGCAGCACACAGACAAGAAGAGAACATCAGGAAAACCTGAACAGTGGGGATTGTTTCATCACATCGACCATCTCATGGCAACAGAGCTGGGGTAATGCAGGTGGAGGGTGGAAATCAGCCAGTTCTTGTTTACATGAGGAAGTTAATTAAATTATCCAGATAAGAATCACATGGACCTTTGGGGTCAGTTGTTTCTTCCCCCTTTCCTTCCCCCCCTTTTTCTTTCTTTATTTTTTTTAATCCACAGCTTAATCTTGAGAGCAGAACAGCACGGTAAGTTTTACATTCAGTTGAAGTTAAACATTCATATAAATACATAGGCTACATAACCATATGCTTATATAATATACATATTATTTTTATCTCCATTCCTTTCTCAATAGAGGTTTTCCCCTCTCATTTCTCTATAAGCATTTCTTCTGGGCTTTTCCAAATAAAATTGGTTTAGGAGAGACCTCCCACACATGGAGAATTTTGATGTCTGGCAAATAAAAAAATAATGAAGTGCTTTTTCTTAGACAACAAGCTCAGCAGCTGTTACCAGAGCAGACGTAGCAGATCTGCATCAGCTATTTGTTGTGAGCATAGAGAGCTTTTTCTGCACCACCAGTTCTCTCTCATCTCTGGTGCAGCAGAACCTCACTGACTGCAATTAAAAAACTAAAACCAAAGCCACACGCTTTTTGCCTGCTTGCTCCCTAGGCCTAAAATTACCAGAAATCAACCTTATCATGCATCCAAGGTCAGGAATAAAGAGCAAACCGCTGGCAGGAAATACCTGGAGAGGTGCTGAGGCACTGCTGCGTATCACAGAGCCATTTGGCAATATCAGAGGTGGCACAGCATCAGCATATTCCCAGAGCACCAGCACAAAGTAATTAGGAACAGAGAGGCCCATGGAAAAATAAATAAGAATAGCTTCAGTGTCCCAGAGGCAGGAAATGAACGCATGAAGGGAGCGATCCGATTACACCAAATATAGGCAAAATAGGGATAAAGTGTTGTTTATTTTAGAGACAAAACAAAAGGAAGAAACCTCATCGGGTTGATGGGGCTGAAAGACTCCCTGTGCTGGCTGTGGTATGCTGCTGCACCAAGCCTCCTCCTCCTTACCAATATCCTCACCAGTACCAATTGTCATTACTCATATTCCCAGCACAGGCTCCCCACTAAGGGCAATGACCCTGCAGGCCTTTGGGATGCTCTGAGCTGCTGGTGCCCAAATCAGGAACCAGCTCACACAGGAGGAAAGGCAGCACGGAGCAGTGGATGC